TGACCATATATACTGTCATCTGAGTAACTGTTGATTATTACATCTTACTGATAAACAGATTGATAAGAACAGAAATATTATTATGTCAGTAATCTCTACTTGAATAATTGTTCCTAAATGAAGAAAACAATTTTAACTTAAAAAAAAAGAAGAAAAAAAAAGGAAAAAAAAAAACATTTAAAAAAAATGCAAAAGCGAGTATAATGCAACAAAATGCAACTAATTGGAGAAAAAATGGCAAAAAAAGCATTGACAGTTGTACTGAACATGTATATTTAATTATTCATCATATATTTTGCAAATAATACAAATGAATGAATGAGTTTACAAATATTGTAAGGAATTAAAAATAAAAATTGGAATGTTTTGCCAGCATTCACAATAACAGTATGATTTTCACAGATATCCTTCAATCAGTTCTTTTGGAGAAAAAATACAACAGTCAATTGCACTTTGTTATTTTTTTTCACCTTAAAAAGTATTTCTTAATATTCTAGCTACATGTGGGAAAAAAATCTACCGATTTCTAAAACATTCAAAATGCAAATGTATAAAAGAAAACATGATGTGTATACTTTTCATCTGAGGTAATCAAAAATAATTAACCTTGTCAATTGCACATTTGATCATTTAACAATTGAAGAATATGAACAAAAACATTAAAAGCACCAAATATAAAAAAAAAATATTTGAAAACAAAACAAGATGGCTTATAACCTACTCCGGTAACTAATGAAATTAATGATTGACTGTTTCAGGTAGAGCAACAACAAAAATATCTTTTTAAAAAACAAGATGTGTTTGTGAAACAATGATGCCCCCGTACATGAATGGCAGCTTATGGCAAAGTTTAAAGTAAAATTTCTCAAATGCAAGTCAAAATCCAGATCAAGAGATGAAAAATGTTGGTACTCAAAGAAAGGTCTTGTCTCGAGGAAGATACCTGTGAAATTTGAAAGCCCTAGCTGCAACTGTTCAAAAGTTATGGCGAAGGTTGAAGTTTTTTAAAAGTAAGTAAAACGTCAAGGTCAAGGTCAAAGTTCTTGTTATTGAAAGGAAGGTCTTGTCACAAGGATTACATATGTGAAGTATGATAGCCCTAGCACCAACCAATCCCAAGTTATGGCCAAGGTTAAAGTTTTTCAAAAGTAGGTCAAACTCAAATGTCAAGGTCAAAGGGTTAAAGTGGTTGATATCCAAAGGAAGGTGATGTCACAAGAATTACATATGTGAAGTATGAAAGCCCTAGCATCAACGATTCAAAAGTTATGGCCAAGGTTAAAGTTTTTCAAAAGTAGGTCAAACTCCTAGGTCAACATCAAAAGGTCAAAGTGGTTGGTATCCAAAGGAAGGTCTTGTCACAAGGATTACATATGTGAAGTATGAAAGCCCTAGCTCCAACCGTTCAAAAGTCATGACCAAGGTTAAAATTTTACAAAAGTAGGTCGAACTCCTAGGTCAAGGTCAAAGGGTCAAAGAGGTTGATATCCAGAGGAAGGTCTTGTCATAAGGAATACACATGTGAAGTTTGAAACCCCAAGCACCAACTATTCAAAAGTTATGGCCAAGGTTATAGTTTTTCAAAAGTAGGTCAAACTCCAAGGTCAAGGTCAAAGTAGTTGGTATCCAAAGGAAGGCCTTACCACAAAAAATACACATGTGAAGTTTGAAACCTCAAGCACTAACTGTTCAGAAAATATGGCCAAGGTTAAAGTCTTATAAAATTAAAGAGTTAAAGTGGGTCAAACTCCAAGGTCAAGGTCAAAAGGTCAAATACGATGGTACCCAAAGAAAGGTCTTGTCACAAGGAATACACATGTGAAATATGAAAGTCATAGCTCCAACCAATGAAAAGTTATGGGAAAGGTTAAAGTTGACAACAGACAAACAGACAGACAGGACAAAGACAATATACCCCAAGGATCTTTCGATTCTGGGGCATAAAAAGAAAAAAAACAGCCAGATGATTATCCCCACCCCCTTCCCCTCAAAAGTCTGAATCAATTTTTTGGAAAATTTTCAACAGTATACTTTGTCTCAAATTTTATTTTGCTTAACTGTGAAGAACCTCATTGCATGTTTGCAAGAATAATACAATTTTTGTAACTTGCAATGAAAACTGACAGTTTTCATCATTGATATATGTAGTTACGCTGTCAATATGTTTGAGTATCATCATCATCAATAAATTCAAAATGAATGCCTGTTTTCATCTGTTTGTTATCTCCGTGACTGATTACACAATTGAAACTGTAATTAAAATTTTCATGAAAAGGGCAACAAAATTTTCAGAAATGACCACTTGTACATGAGTTTTTGTAGAAAAACAAACTTAAAAACTTTTTTTTTTTAAATGTTAAATGGAAAAGTGATGCCATGATAATTTTGTTGACAGAAATACTAGGGATATCCTTCAAAAACAAAAGTGATATTTCATTTTCATTAAATAATGATTCATTTCAGTCTTAATTTTCTCTCTGGTTATTTCCACTAGCTTACCCCAGCATATGTTGAGTAATCAAACTATTGTACTAAGATTCTTAATTAAGAATGACACATATAAAAAAAATTATCCTGCCTCTGATAAAAATCTTGAAATTTCATTGGTTGAGACCAATACTCTATAAAACCATATTATGCTGCCTACAACATTATATTGTTAATATGCCCTCTCCACGTGACCTACTGACCACATATCAAATTAACATGCCCCCTTCACGTGCCATACTGTCCAGATCATACTCAATATGTTTTCATTTGAACATGCAAGAAGCCTAATAACTGATGTCACATAAGCATCAAACGACGTTACAGTGTAAACAATTGTTACGGAACGGTTAAATTTGCTTAACTTAGAGAAAATGAACTTTTAATTATTAAAAAAAATCTTTGACAGGATAAATACATATATAATATGCATTTTTTCAATGACCCCACATATTTTTGTATAACACCTCTAAGTGTCTATATAACTAAAATTCTAAAATTATGAGGTTGCTAGCATCTTGCAAACAAGAATAACATGAATGGTCAAAAAAATCCATTTATCAAATTACAAGATTTCCACATATAAAAACTAATTCTAGATACTTAGTACCCCGGTACATGCACTTGGAAATGTGCAATTTTTATGCAATTTACATGAAGTGCTACATATGTAAAGTTGATGTTGTTAATGATTGAATACTGTATTTAATTTTAAAGATGATTCATTACTCTATTTTGTACAAAAAGAACACAATACAATTACATTACATAAATTGAATATAAAATAAACCAAATATAGACATCTTTATACGTTCCTCACCCTGGACCAAAACAAGGAGTAGAACAAGCATTTCATAAAGGCACAAGTTTAATAGGAGTAATTCTTGTACTCAAGGTATCTAATCTTTTTTTACACATAACAAAATATACATCAATGTCAATAGAATTTTTTTCTAATTTTCTTTTCCTAGCCTGTTTTATTAAATGAACACATTTTAGCCCACGATTTTAGTCATGAATACAGGGGATGTAACTTCAACTGTTCTATGTAATAAGTGTACAATTTAGCCAAAAAATGTAAACATTTACAAATAACAGATCACAGCATGGCAATTTCTATATGTATTACTTTTAACTGAATATAACATTAACAAGAGACCCATGGACCACAACCCTCACCTGAGTTACTTTGGCCTTGCTGTTCTTCATCAGCAGACTTTTTTCCACTATAGATTCCCAAGTATAACTTTGATCTTCTGTTGAGGCCCCACTCTCTACCCCTAGGGGTCATGACTTGAACAAATTTGAATTTCCACTACTTGAAGATGCATCCATATAACTATGATTAGTCATGACTTCGCTGTTCTTGAGAAGAAGGGTTTTTTTTTTAAAGATTTTTCATATATATTCACATGTAAAACTTTATAATTGCCTATTGTGGCCCCACCCTACCTCCAGGAGTAATCGCTTAGAATTGAATCTACACTACCCAAGGAAGCTTCCACATTAATATGACAAAAAAATGCTTTGCTGTCTTGAGGAAAAGATTTTGAAAGATTTTTTCCAATAGATTTCTATGTAAAACTTTGATCACCTTTTGCAGCCCTACCTTGCCCTACCCTACCCTGGGGGTCATGATTTGAACAAACTTAAATCTATACTACCTGAGGATGCTTCCACATTGATATGTCAAATCATGGCTTTGCTGTTCTTGAGAAGAATATTTTTCACATATATATATTCACATGTGAAACTTTGACTCCCCATTGTGGCCAACTGGCCCCAGGGGCCATGATTTGAATAAATCTGAATCTACAATATGTCAGGAAGCTTTCACTAAGTTGCATCATTTCTGGCCACGTGGTTCTTGATAAGAAAATTTTTTAAGACAATCACCCAAATTTTTTTCTTTCCTTGAGTATCCCCTATAAAGAAGTCATGGCCCATTATTTTAACAATCACGAATCTCCCCTTCCCAGGAATGCTTTATGGTAAAATTGGTTGAAATTGGTACAGTGGTTCTTGAGAAGAAATCTAAAATGAAAAAAGTTAACAGACAGACATATGGACAGACAGCTAGACAGATGGACAGACAACAGTTTTATCAGAAAAGCTCACTTGAACCTTTGGCTCAGATGAGCTAAAAACTAATAAAGATGTATTTTTCCAAGTCTTTGGTAACCTTTATTAATAAATGGAAGTGATCAAGCTTCAAAAATTAATTTTCTTTCCATGAATTAATCATTATAATCCATAACACTCATGGCGTTTTATTTAGTTACAGTTATTTACTGTACTTTACTTTATGAGTCATAAAATAAAGGTATACTCGATGTCTGCTGCCTTAGTTACTGCCAATGCAAATTTTGATGTACTTTTTCTAATTTTTATCACAAAAGACTTCCAGTTAGGAAGGTCATTTGAAACTTGTCAACTGTGAAATGGTTAATTTAATATTGGGTTTATATATTCATGCATCTATCATCTGATAAATAAAACAAATGAATAAAATAAAATCAAACGGTATGCATCACTTTCTTGCCTGATGACAGAATATAAGATTCCAACCTCGTCTTGACAGTAAGCGGTATCCGTTCTCGTTCAGATATTTCTCTGTGAGGTCTGGGAGTTCAAATGCTCTTTCATGTAAATCTTCATAGATGATGTATCCTGGACGAAATCCCAGGTCAATAAATGAATGTAATATCTGTAGAAGAAAAATTTCATAATGAAATCATGCCATATTTGCTCTCTGAAAATTTCAGAAATTTATCTTCACAGGATAAACAACAATGTATCGATCTCTTATCAATTAAATTCCCTATACAGTGTAATTTGTATCACAACTAAATAAAAAGTTTCCATAGTTACATTAGAATAATGAAGAATTAACTTAAATAATTCAATATATATAGGATCTCCCATGGTTTGAGGTTGGATATGATTTTTTATCAAATGAGTTGGGTGTTTTTACCCCCGAGGGCCTTGGTGAGGGGATAAAAACACATAAAGAGTTGGAAAATAAAATCATATCTAACCACAAACCATGGGAGTTTCTTTTTATCACACCTTTAATACATAGCTATTTCATGTTTTACACTGTTTATATATGTAAATGCACAAAACTGACTTGATCAAATTCATGCGAAAACCACTATGGCGTCACAACCACGGATATGAAAACGATATCCTATAAGCTATATCCACTGTACAAAGGAGTAAACATGTGACAAAAAAACCCTTTAATTAAATTGTACATGCATTGCAATAGAATACCTGGTTTCCAGTGCCCTCAGCATCAATAGACAACACACCAAAGTACTTTGGAACATTATACTTGGAGGTGAACCTCTTGACCGTAATACTGACCACCTGGATTATATCCCCCTCGGGAGGATTGTCTGGGTAAAAGACCTCCTCCTCAGCAATGTGTCCCTCCATGTCAGCGATGTCTGACCGCCGCAGGAAGGAGACAACCCCAGACTTGTTGCTGATGACGTTCTTAATGACTTTCACTGTCTGATTGTTGTCACGGTAAGGATTCACATACCTAGCGAATAATAATATAGATTCACATACTTAGTGAATAATAATATAGATTCACATACCTAGTGAATAATAATATAGATTCACATACTTAGTGAATAATAATATAGATTCACATACTTAGTGAATAATAATATAGATTCACATACCTAGTGAATAATAATATAGATTCATATATCTAGTGAATTATAATATAGATCATTCATATATCTATTGAATAATAATAAAATAGATTCACATACCTAGTGAATAATAATATAGATTCACATACCTAGTGAATAATAATAGAGATTCACATACCTAGTGAATAATAATATAGATCATTCATATATCTTGAGAATAATAATATGGATTCATATATCTAGTGAATAATAATATAGATTCACATACCTAGTGAATATTTATATAGATTCACATACCTAGAGATTAATAATATAGATTCACATATCTAGCGAATAATAATAGAGATTCACATGCCTAGTGAATAATAATATATATTCACATACCTAGAGAATAATAATATAGATTCACATATCTAGTGAATAATAAAATAGATTCACATACCTAGAGATTAATAATATAGATTTACAAACCCAGTGAATGATTATAATTTTGTAATACCTTCTCACACCTGTGATTCAATAAAAATTGGCAGTTTAACCAAATAAAGAAGGAAATGTTAGAATTGGTCTCGGATATTTACCTGACAACATTTTTGGCAGCCATTTCAGCCTGTGAGGCTTGGGGCTCCACTAATAATGCTGACCAGCCCATCTGAATGAAGTTAAATGAGTTACTAGATAGAAGCCCATCATTTGCACCAATGTCTACCACTAATCGAGCATAAGGAAAATGTCTCCTAGCCAGTATATGTTTATAAATGTACAGAAATTCCCCAGAATGTGATACATCTATTCCAAATGTTTTTATTTTTTTCCCCTCAGATCCTCCTCCCTCTATCATGTATACTCTCTCCACTGTGTCCTGTAACAGGGAGACAAATCCCCCCGCTTTGCCCCTGTAAACTAGTTCCCGGACCCATCGGGCTTGTTTCAAATCCTCCTTCCAGTCCACATCACCAATATTGAGCAGCGGACCAAATGTTCTGTGTAACACTCCCAAACCATAAAATATGAAACAGTTAAAGAGGAGTAACTCCAACACAAGGAATGTAAGAATTATAAGACAAATCCACTTCAGTGACTGTGAAGGAGAAAGAAAGCTAAACTTCCTCATGCTGCCATCTGGTGCTCACAAAAAAATCTGCAAAAATAAATAAAACATTATAACAGCTAAAATAAGATTTATACTGCCGAATTTTGCAATACCAGAGAAAATGTCCTAAATATTTACTTCAAAATGTACACAAATACTTGGTACATAAAATAACCCCAAGGACAGGTACTTTAGTCATATATAACTATAATCTTTCCAATTTAAAAAATTCTAAAATCATACATCAAAAAAACAACAAAAAAAAACAAAACAAAACAAAAAAAAAAAAAAACCAAAAAAAAAAAAAAAAAAAAAACCCAATAAAAAACATAAAGATAGGTTCCAATATATGTAGACAGATTTAGGTGAGGGATTTCCTGGCATGCATGGGATCCTGAAAATATTTCAGACAATTGATTCAAAATATAATCCCTTTACAGAAACTTCAAAAGGTATTGCTTAAATGATCCAAGAAGTATGCATTTGAAAAATGAAACAAATGTATCATTACTCATAACATATATCTGATGTCCAGAAAGCATATTCATTTACACTCTCATATTTGATGATCATAATGATAGTCTGTGTAGCACAAAGGGAGGACATATACATGAACCTGTATGAACTCAATACTGCTTTCGTTCTCTGTCTAACCCCCCCCCCCTTTCCCCCCTACTTTTTGTTTCCAAAGAAAACAATTTTTATTTTTTCCCTAGCATCATATCAGACTACAAGCATATATAAATGGAATATGGAATCAAATATATAGGAAGGGAGAAATTGTGATGGAGTAGGCCAGGATCATCTGAACTCTGTTCACCCCCCCCCCCCCCCCCCCCCCCCCCCCCCGATCTCCAGACACATAAGGGTCTATAAACTGATTCATGTGGCCATTGATGATGCTGCAAAGATATAATGAGTTTATTATAGTGTAAGAAAAAGGCCAGTTTATATTAAATTTAACTAGCTAGAGTGATATGAACCCAGTAGTTTGACAAGTGTGAGCACATGACTGCCATAAAAGGTTAAAAGGTTACCAGATTCAATTTTTAGAAGAACAGCTTTGCCTCTTATACGCGTGTAAAAGGAGAGGAGAAAAATGTGACGGACCAGACCAGAATTTGAATCCGGGCCCCCTGAATCTCTAGTCAGGTGCTCGAATACCAAGTGAGCTATCTGGCCATCGGCGATCAAACCCATTTGACCACCACATTCCTCCCTCCATAAAGGTCTTCACCCCTGAAGACTCTTCCCTGGCAGGTTTTTCACCTGTCACTTCCAGGGCACAGCATGGCTCCAAATGTAACAGGAGAGGAGAAAAATGCGATGGACCAGACTGGGCCCCAAAATCTCCAGTCAGATGCTCTACCAACTGAACTATCTGGCCACCAGTGATCGAACCCGTCTGACTGACACACACAATAGGCACTCACATTTGGACCTTGTACCAGAATTATATTTGTGGTAAATTTATGGGATTACATTTTGGAATTTCACCAACAAGTGTTCAAATGTGAAAGTCACTCAATGCAACAGCCTATCTTATTAAAGACATTTAGCTTTAAGAGAATTGGTGAACACAAAAGTAGTCATGAAGAAATTCTGTTAAATATGTTACCTATCCGGCGGGCTATCGTTAGGTCTTGAAATTATTCAGTGTAACAAATCATGAACAGCTGCATACATCACGACATTATGAATGAAAGTGTACTTATTCATCTGTACATGCAAAATTAAATATTGGCAATGATGTTTTAAAAACATCTGATGTTAAGCATTTAAGTAAATCCAGATATATGTCTCTCGGAGAGAGACATTCACTTATTTTGACACCAAGCTGTAATAAATAGATCGGGTTATTTTGACACCAAGCTGTAATAAATAGATCGGGTTCGGGATTTTAGAATTTACATGGGAGAATACTCTAATATAAAATCATGAATTCTGCAGGAGTCAAGTGTTGATTATCTGTAAGTAAACATGATTTATAAGCACATTTAGCAGAGGAGTATCATGTATTCATTATAGAGTTGCCTTAAATTAAAGTATAGAATGCATCATAAAATGTGACAACGCATGTCTGCAGAGATCCAACTTTTTTTTTCTACTTTGGTCTACATGTAGGCAGTGTAGGTGTTAAATCGAAGTTACTACATTCAGTCATCCATTTTAGGATCCAGCAGTTTTTTGCAAATTTGAAATGTAACGTAATTGTTTGGTTGAATATCTAGGTTGCATTATCTACAACTTGTAGATAACGAAATGTAAATATTTTTAATTTTTATGGGCAGTAACTCTAGTTTAAGCTTCAATAAGTTCAATAGATAGGTCATATGTGTAAAACACTTTTTTTTGGTTATATATTGGTATTTTAAAAGTAAGATGGACCTACACTAATACATCCAGGTACTGCTAGCACACGTTCATACCAAAATGATTAATATATTCTTTAAAATTTGTGGACAGTTACCGGTAGTTATATCTGAGTACTTAGACTATATGTTATGTGGCGGTCAGACAGGTTCGATCGCCGGTGGCCAGATAGCTCAGTTGATAGAGCACCTGACTGGAGATTCAGGGGGCTCGGGTTCGAATCACGGTCTGGTCCGCTGCATTTTTCTCCTCTCCCATTACATTTGGTGCCGTGCCATGCCCTGGAAGTGACAGGTGAAATGCCTGCCAGGGAAGAGCCTGGGTTGGAGTCTTTGGGGGGCCAAAGACCTTTAAGGAGGGAGGAATGTGGCGGTCAGATGGGTTCGATCGCTGGTGGCCAGATAGCTCAGTTGGTAGAGCATCTGACTGGAGATTCAGGGGGCCGGGTTTGAATACCGGTCTGGTCCGCTGCATTTTTCTCCTCTCCCGTTACAGTTATAAAGCTGAATTCTCTTTCATAGATGGCAGGATGCACAGATTTCCACTGAGGATTCTGAGGGCTCCAAAGCTTTCACAGTCAGTAAGCAGTCAGATTTTATCCCCAAGAATTCAGGCTTCAGCAGTGATGGCACAGCACAGGCCCAAGACAACTAAAGCTGTTATATTTGATCTAGGTGGAGTTGTGGTACCATCTCCTTTGGCTGCTTTTCAAGGTATCAGTATGGAAGATAATAATATTTACACAGCTGATTCCCATGGAGTGAACATATCATGTAATTATATCTTAAGATTATATGAGCATTTAAAGAGCATTTAAGAAGAAAATGTTGTGTGTTTCATCATTGAAGAATAAATTTTTAAAATCATTTTTATATTCATATAACAGAATATGAGAAGAAGTTAGGGCTTCCAAGAGGAAGTATTTCCCATACTGTGGTGGACAGTGGAGACAATGGGGCATGGAACAGATTGGAGCGTGGAGAGATTTCACTTGCAGAGTTTGCTGACAAATTCAGTGAAGAAGTCTCTACTAAGGTTCGTTTGGAGATCAACTGCATTTTTATTTTCATCAGTTTCATAAAAACAGATTGGGATTTACAAAGCCATTACGACTAAATGCAACTGAAAAAAGCATTTCTTTCATTATAGATATACATGTATAATGTATATAGACTGTTCTTGAGTGAAAGAAAACCCAAGCAATGTTTTAACCTACAACTCCAAGTGAATTGATCTAATTTAGTGACTGTTTAAATAACAGGCAGGTAAAAGAGCAGACATGTCTGGTTTGTTGAGATTTGTTGGAAACAGCCTGATTACGCCACACCAGTCCATTATAGACGCTGTGAAATGTCTGAGGATTGAGGGCCTTAAGACTGCGTTACTGACCAACAACTGGAGTTGGGAGGGAGAGGGGCCAAATCGAGTGATGGACAGGTAGAAAGGCATTGTTTTAATGGTCTTCTTTGTAGATTTGTTAAAGTTTAAACCAGATGAAATACCCAATTTCTTCTTGATATGTTTTCCTCTTTTTCTCCTATTATTTAAAATCAAGTTAAACTGTAACTTTATGTATATCAGTATTGCATATCTGCTGATTAAAAAAAAAACTGAATAGTTTGGAAAAAATTCTGAGATTGTATTACAAATATCTTTCGTGTAATGTAGAGACCTGTTTGATGTGATTGTGGAGTCATCCAAGGTTGGGGCACGGAAGCCAGAGAGAAGGATTTATGAGATTTGTTTAGAGCAGTTGGATGTGAGACCAGAGGAGTCAGTATTCCTTGATGATCTTGGAGTGAATTTAAAGGCAGCTAAGGAACTGGGCATCAGAACCATAAAGGTATTGTGATGTAGGCTTCTGTATTTACAGTGGGGAAGCTGATTGAAAGCTGATGTGGCAAGGAATGTTAACATTGTGAGAGTTGTCCATAACTTCTCTGTCTTAAGTATATATATTTCAGCCTTCAATATTTGAAAGTCTGTTTGAAGATGAAAAGAAATGTGATTCAACTTTCTGGGACTGTCTTAATAGAAATATGATTGACTGGTTTAAATTGGTGTAGGTAACAGATCCATACAGAGCTGTCCTTGACCTTGAACAGGAAGTAGGTGGTCTCTGTCTCCGTAGATTTGTTGATGATACGACCACTGTCCCAGAACACTTGAGAATTCCAATGGACAAACTGGAGATGTACTTCAAACAGGAGCTTAGTCTTCACTCTCCAGGTGAACCATTGTGTAAACATTAATCATTGTTACAGGAAATTCAAAACACGGTACTGATAAATTTATAGAGAAAAGGGTTCAATAATTTTTAAAAAATGATTGAAATAAAAATTTTGCATAAGTGAACTTTTGGTATCTATACATCATATAGATGTACTTGTATGAAACAAAAAAAATTGTCATTGTCAGTATATATTATTCCATGTCAGTCCATCTGCAGTATATGTATGAAAATTTGCATATGTCAAAATCAAAAATCTAAACTACCTATAGGCATTGAAATAAACATACTGAAATAATCTTTTAATATAAATTAGTTTTGAAGCATCCACAATGAAATGGCTTTGGCATATAGTGCAACCCCTTTTCACAAAAGTTATTGCATTTAGACTTTGAAATTTTCTAATTTTGACTGTTGAATTTCCAAACTTTTTTTTATTTTGCTGTGCTTTTAGATAATGAGCTAATTTTTGTAATGTGTCATTACCGGTATATTCATGACTTACAGATCAAGTTGATTTACACATTTTTCCAAAAGTTATTGTCCTTTATATGCAGATTTTGAAAATTTCTTTTTATTCTGTGTTTTTGGACTTTAAAAAAAATGTGTTCGTAGTTAATCACAGCTAAGGTTGTGGTAGTATTGACAACTAATTCAAGAAAATAAAAGCAGCTACATAGTATTTTATTTTTGTCTCATTTCCACCCTTCACTTTTTTCATATCCTTTCACTTACAAATATTTAAAATTGCTTGTCTGCAGGGGTTTGGGGGAGAGTTGTGTCAAAATGTCACATTTAGTTTTTCTAAATTTCTAGAAATTATAGTGCCAATCCTCATCAACATGTATGAATTTCAACAAAATTTCAATTTCTTTTAAGAACCCCCTGTTATCCGATGTTTCCAACATGGACAGTCTAACCCGACATACTATGTTTACTATGCAGGGAAACATCTTGTTCTACGAAAAAAACCAGTACGTATTAAAAGAAAAAACTATGTGCAGCCTAGTCATTAAAGAGATACATGTTTATACAAAAATCTGTAGGCATTGCCTTTAACATAAGTATAAGGTAAAAATAAAAAAAATAGTTGGAATTGTTCTAGTTAAACCAGTATTAGATACATGTTTCAGAATAAAAAAAAAAAGTTTGATGCTCGATATAAAGTTGGATTAGGTACAGATCATGAGATTGTCAAAAATTTCTTTAAACAAGGTGGTCCCAAATACTTGTATTTGCAGTTATCATAATTATTCTTAACCTCTTCTGAAGAGAAATAATTAAGTATAAGAGAAGGAATAAAAAATCACATTTTAGTTTTACACCTATTGTCCCTGATGTATTTATAGCCTGGTAAACTCTTGCCCTCTGCCCACGCTGTTGAGCGAGAGTTCAGGGTGATGAAGGCAGTGGGACAGTTTGGAGTCCCCATACCTAAGATGTACGGACTGTGTGAGGATAGCAGGTAAGATTTAGCCACACCCCGTCATCCCCCAGCTGATCCTTCAACAGTAAGAGCTTTAACTTATCACTCATAAATACCAAGGAGTCTATACATTTACCTGGAAGTTCTAAAATAATTCTCAGAAAATGTCACATTTACATTTCAGTGTCATAGGTACTCCATTTTATGTGATGGAGTATTGCAAAGGTCGAATATTCAAAGCCCTTGACTTACCGGGAATGACCAATCAGGAGAGACGTGATATTTACGTTGCCATGGCAGACACTCTTTGTAAGATTCACAGAGTGGATATTTCTAAGGCAGGGCTGGATGATTATGGTAAAAAAGGTAAAGCGTATGATAACTCACCATTACGAACACTGTTTACCAGAAAGGAGAGATTTTTATGATATGGTCAAGGGAGAATACTGAGGAATATGTAGCACTTTGACAAAGCTTTTATATATTAATTGTGTCTCTCATTTTGCTAAAAGAAAAGTTTGAAGATAGCTTATTTAAATCTTTTAATATTATGTAATTTCATGTACTTGTAGGAGGCTATTTAAGGAGGAACCTTAATCGGTGGACAAAGCAGTATGAGGCCAGTAAGACAGAGGAAATTGAAGCTATGAACAAGCTTATAGACTGGCTGTCTCAACACCTGCCAGAAAAGGAAGCTGTTACCATTGCTCATGGCGACTTCAGGTGTATAGTCAAGTCTTCATCTTTTAGGAATAAATGGTTTGGTAATTTTTGTGGGTTCATTGGAAGTTGCAAAAACAAAAAACAAAACAAAATTATAACACATTCAAATCTCTTTTCAACACACCAATCAATATATTTGATTAAAATGGCAGTACAGAAATTTTGATGGTTGAAACTAGAAAAATTCTGAGTATAAGAAAATTACTCAATACACTGTGTACAATAATACATGTATGTAGGTTTAGAGATGCATTTATGACTTGTTAATAGTTTTAGAAAAACGAAGGTTAACTTACTTCATGAATCACCTATGAAGTTATAATACTGCATTACAGACTGGATAATTTAATGTTCCACCCAACAAAACCAGAAGTGATTGGTGTCCTAGACTGGGAGCTCTCCACAATAGGAGATCCAATTACAGACCTGTCAACGTGCCTCCTCAACTTCTACATGCCGGCCGATTTCCCCATGATCAAATGTAAGATTTTTCATTCATAAAGTTTAATTTAAAGTTTCATTCATAAAGTTTAATTTATTTTTCGTTAGTCAACTGAGGATGGGATTGTGTCTCATGGATTTGTGATGAAAATCTCTTATAACAATATCAGGCCTCTAAGTGGCCTCTAAAATTAAAATTTGAAATTATCCAAAAATTAGTCGCCAATGCCAATTTTTAGTCGCCAGGCCATTTTTCTAAGGCTCCAACGTTAAAAGTTAATCAAATATAGTAATAGAAGTTAATAGAATGACATGCCTAAGAAAACACGACATGTCCATTGCTAAAAATAATGTCCTCTTCTTTTAAATTTCTTTTCGCTTTTTCAGAAAAATTGTTAAAAATGTGAAAATTTCTGGAATTCAACGATCGCCAAGTCAATTTAAAATGGTGGCCAATTTGGCGACTTATGGAAAATTTTTTAGGTGCCATGGCGACTAAATTAGTCACCAATTAGAGCCCTGAAAAGCACAGAAATTTGCAGAAGAAAGAGTGAAAAGCTTAAGAACTGTAATTTGTTTTTTTTTATTACCACAATTTTTGAAAACCCACTAATTTAAGGCACTCTAAATCACACAATTTTGTTTTCACGTAAGAGGTTCTCTGAATGTAAAGTAATGTTAACAGCATTTTCGAATGAAGGGGAATTTCTTTCCCTTTTTTTTTCACATATAGGTCATGACTTTTTTTTCTAAAAAGAGACAATTAAAAATTAAAGGAGACTTGTTTAGTATTATCTCTAAATATTGATGATTGCAGCTTTAAAAGAAACAGATGTTAGATCACTAGGGATACCCACTGTTGAGGAGTTCATTGACATTTACTGTCAGAGAATGGGGATTCCTTCCATTCCAAACTGGGATTTTTATGTGGCTTTCGGACTTTTCAGGTTCGCAGCAATCTTACAGGGTGTCTACAAACGAGCTATATCAGGTAAGACTAATTAATATAGAGTGTTCACAGTCTGACAGGGTGTCTACAAATGAGCTATATTGGGTAAGACTAATTAATATAGAGTGTTCACAATCTGACAGGGTGTCTACAAACGAGCTATATCGGGTAAGACTAATTAATATAGAGTGTTCACAATCTGACAGGGTGTCTACAAACGAGCTATATCAGGTAAGACTAACTAATATAGAGTGTTCACAATCTGACAGGGTGTCTACAAACGAGCTATATCAGGTAAGACTAAGTTAATGTAGAGTCTTCACAATCTTTCAGGGTGTCTACAAATGAGCTATATTGGGTAGACTAATTAATATAGAGTGTTCACAATCTGACAGGGTGTCTACAAATGAGCTAATTCAGGTAATGTTTAATTAATTTAGGGTATACAGACAAGGTTTGCTAGTTAAGGTAACACAGCTTGGGGGGGTGGAATTCTTGATTACCATTAATAAATGAATACAATATAAAGTTTTTCATATACTTGCTTTGATTCATCATTTTATTTAAGGAATGAATTTAATAGCTACCCAATTTATAAAGTGTTTATTTATATATAAAGTGGGTTGGGGTAGTTTACGCTTTATAAACCACCAAGTGGTTTATAAAAACGTGTAAACTATTCCAATCCACTTTATACCACATAAATTGGTTATTTTTAGACACCAAGGCGCCCCTTACAAATAATTGTTCTTTACCACTGAATGACAAATAAATAGAATTTATAAGAAATTTGATAATTATCCTAAAGACCTTACTGACCTTACATAATTAAGACATAACTAATAATTAATGTTTGGCGTGCTTGTCATGGCCATTTATTCACATTTATTAACAAATTGATATGGCAGCATATACACAAACAACTCAAAGCAGTAGAAATACCACCTTGACCCAAGGGACCTGGAGAAAACAGTGCCCCATGGAGGTGGCATTCTATGCAAAATTCTGCCAAATGAACCACAAAACAAACTTTTGTGGGACATCCGCCAACAAATCTAGGCAGTCAATTTTGCATACATCCATACAATATCAATTTTACATTCAACAATTAGTCATAAACAATTCATTTGCAAATATTCAACTTCACAACTATTCAAGGTTTGACCATGACAAGGCTTGACTAGTAGTAGTATTAGGATAAAATCTGTCAGTAGTTGACAAAAACAGCCCAAGAGCATTTCTTAAAGAATTTACAAATATGTCATTACCCAAGTCTGACAAGTGTATACCATCTTTGCGGAAAAGGGATACATGTCTAATTAAAATATCGGGATATTTAATGGAGGCCCCACATGCTTTCTTAACAACAAATGTAGCGAGGGCAGAATTAATTCTTCTTCTCCAATTTTCTCCATCTTTGTTAGAAAGACACAAGGTCCAATTACTTCGTGGTAAGATATGAGACCAAACAATAACTGTCTTTGGCATTAATTGTGAAATATTTACAATGGTAGATTTCATGTACATTTGTAAGCCCTTTAAAGTACTATGTGGATTGCCAATATCATTGCCACCACAATGTATTACGAGGATTGTTGGGGGGTTGTTATTTTTTAACTTCTTTTGGATCGTTGGATAAAGCTGAGACCAAACCATACCCCTTATTCCATGCCAAATTATCCTATGCGATTCAAATCCAAGGTTGCTATTCACTCTCTGCTGAGCATATTTCTGAGCCCAATAAATCAACGATGATCCAATGATCCATATGTAATCTGAAACATTTTTAGCTCACCTGAGCCGAAGGCTCAAGTGAGCTTTTCTGATCACATTTTGTCTGTAGTCCGTCTGTCTGTCCGTCTGTCCGTCCGTCTGTAAACTTTTCACATTTTCAACTTCTTCTCAAGAACCACTGGGCCAATTTCAACCAAACTTGCCACAAAGTATCCTTGGGTGAAGGGAATTCAAGTTTGTTCAAATGAAGGGCCACGCCCTCTTTCAAGGGGAGATAATAAAGAATTAGTGAAAAATTAATAGCATCTTTTAAAAATCTTCTTCTCAAGAACCACAAAGCCAGGGAAGATGAAACTCATGTGGAAGCATCCTCAGGTAGTGTAGATTCAAATTTGTTCAAATCATGACCCCTGGGGGTAGGGCGGGGCCACAATGGAGGATCAAAGTTTAACATAGAAATATATAGGAAAAACCTTTAAAAATCTTCTTCTCAAGAACAGCAAGGCCCTAATTGGTCATATTTATATGGAAGCATCTTCAGGTAGTGTAGATTCAAGTTTGTCCAAATCATGACCCCTGGGGATAGGGCGGGGCCACAATGGGCAATCAAAGTTTTACATAGAAATATATAGGAAAACCTTTAAAAATCTTCTTCTCAAGAACAGCAAAGCCCTAATTTGTCATATTTATATGGAAGCATCTTCAGGTAGTGTAGATTCAAGTTTGTCCAAATCATGACCCCCGGGGAAAGGGGCGGGGCCACAATGGGCAATCAAAGTTTTACATAGAAATATATAGGAAAACCTTTAAAAATCTTCTTCTCAAGAACAGCAAAGCCCTAATTTGTCATATTTATATGGAAGCAACCTCAGGTAGTGTAGATTCAAATTTGTCCAAATCATGACCCCCGGGGGTAGGGCGGGGCCACAATGGAGGATCAAAGTTTTACATAGAAATATATAGGAAAAACCTTTAAAAATCTTCTTCTCAAGAACAGCAAGGCCCTAATTGGTCATATTTATATGGAAGCATCTTCAGGTAGTGTAGATTCAAGTTTGTCCAAATCATGACCCCCGGGGATAGGGCGGGGCCACAATGGGCAATCAAAGTTTTACATAGAATAGGAAAATTTACCTTTAAAAATCTTCTTATCAAGAACAGCAAAGCCATGATGAGTCATATTTATATGGAAGCATCCTCATGTAGTGTAGAGTCAAGTTTGTTCAAATCATGACCCCCGGGGGTAGGGCGGGGCCACAATGGAGGATCAAAGTTTTACATAGAATAGGAAAATTTACCTTTAAAAATCTTCTTATCAAGAACAGCAAAGCCATGATGAGTCATATTTATATGGAAGCATCCTCATGTAGTGTAGAGTCAAGTTTGTTCAAATCATGACCCCCGGGGGTAGGGCGGGGCCACAATGGAGGATCAAATTTGTACATAGAAATATACAGGAAAAATCTTTAAAAATCTTCTACTCAGGAACAGAAAAGCCCTGCTTGCTCATATTTATCTGGAAATATCCTCAGGTAGTGTAGATTTGAGTTTGTTTAAATCATGACCCCCTGGGGTAGGGCGGGGCCACAATGTAGGATAAAAGTCTGAAATAGAAATATATACAGGAAGATATCTTCTGATGAAGAACTGCAAAGCCATGATTAGTCATTTTGATATGGAAGCATCCTCAGGTAGTGTAGATTCAATTTTGTTAAAATGATGACCCCGGGGGATGGGGATGGGCCACAATGGGGGATCAAAAATTTTACATAGGAACATATTGGAAAATATCTTCTTCTCATGAAATGAAAATCATGTTTAGTCATTTTGATATGGAAGAATCCTCAGGTAGTGTAAATTCAATTTTTGTTCAAATGATAACCCCCAGGGTAGGGTGGGGCCCAATGGGGATCGAAAGTTTTATATAAGAAAAGATAGAAAAAATAACAGAAAAGTTATGTTTAGTCATATTGATGTGGAAGAATCCTCGGGTAGTGTAGATTCAAGTTTGTTCAAATGATGACCTCTGGGATAGGGAGGAGGCACAATGGGGGATCAAATTTTTACAAATGAATATATGGGAAAATTTTTTTAAAATCTTCTCAAGTACAACAAAGCCATTTGTTATATTGACATGGAAGCATCAATAGGTAGTTTAAAATTCCTCCCCCCCCCCCCCCCCAGTAATCTTTTCAATACTGAACTGATTTGTGTCTAGCCAATGTGCTCAGGTGAGCGATGTGGCCCATGGGCCTCTTGTTTTTTTTTTTTTACAATTCTTTATCAAACTTTTAAACAATTGGCCTTATGTATGACTTATAGGCAGCGGAACTCCATCTGCCAATGGTTTTGATTTCAGCTTCACTCATACCATTTAAATAAAGATGTGTGGCCCAACCAATCCTAAAGGAATGAGATTTAAAAACAGAGTAGTTTATATTTAAAAATGAAAAACATTTATTGAGCATTGTTGAAAACGGATACTGAGTCAAAGGTTTGGAGTTGAAATGAACAAAGAATTTAGTTGATAAAATTGTCTGTCGCATTGCAAGAAATTTTTGCAGTAATGTAAACAAAATTAATGACTGGGCATGCTTTGGGACTTTTACTGATGAACCCCTGTGCATTTGATCAGTTTTGGAACATTTAATCATGAGACTAACATAGTCTTCTAACAATTGAACGCTATCATAATGAAGGTCAACCACTTCACTGACTCTAAGCAATGCAAAAAATGCTACTGAATAGGCACATTGAAATAATGTCACCTCATATAACGAATGTGCCACATATGGCAAGGTATCTATGATACAAAATAATAGTTGCAAAGTTATAGGCCTTCTAATATCACTAGACACTGTCAACCTCTTGTAACCAGTTAGCAATTTTTTAATTAAAAATGACTCCACAGCATTTGGCCAGCCATGAACGTTTATAAGAAAGCTTAAACCTGACAGATAACACTTGACAGTCGAAAAGGCACATTTCCTCTCTGACATGTATGCAACAAAATTGATGACATGGTCAATAGGAGGAGGCCATAATTGTGGAAAAGAATTATCTACCCTAAATTTAATAAAGGCTTGGATGCCTTGCTTATAAACTTTGTTTGTATTGCCCGAAATACTAGCGTCTACAAGGTTCTCTACAATTGATGAATAATTTGCCAAAATTGCATAGGAACTGGACAGGGATAATGCCGAGCCCCAGGAGCCAGCTGATGAAACCTCGAAAACTGAAAACGAGATATAGCATCTGCTTTATCATTCCTAATACCTTGAATATGTTGACATTTGATCTGAATGTTA